TGTGGAATTACATCCTCGCATACATCATGTACATTACACAGCATTAGTCGGTGAATGAAGTAGGGGGAAAAAGACGTCAATATGCAGCATCAATATGCCGATAAGAGTGTTTGCGTGGTGAACAGATGGCGAGCCTGAAAGATGCTGGAGCAGTGGATGATGTTGAATCACAGGACGCCACTGAGAAGAGATCAGGAAGACTACAGTGAAAAATAAGGGGCAGTTGTGCTCCAGGCATTCCTCTCCATCACTAAGGTTTCCATCGCTGTTTACTTCTATTGGGAGGGAAAGTGTTTACAGTCGCCCATGGCTTGTGGGGTAATGCATGTTGGAAGATAGAGAGGGGAAGTATAAGAACACGATGAGGTGATGCGATGGGAGGGGAGTGAGGGAGCAGCCGGGGGTGAAATGGATGGTTACAGAAGCTGAGGAGAACAAAAGAGGGAATGAGGGCATAATGGGGAGCAAAGGGAGAGAGGTTATAATCCCAGAGACGCTTTTGAGGAACCGACAAATAGATGGAGATGAAAGGGTAGTGGATGTCGCCGCTCAACTGCTACACAGACGGAGAGTAGTCCCGCCGCACCTTTAAGGTTTCCTCTTCTTCTCACCTGTCGCAACGAACCACCAACAATAAATCACAAGCAATGAGGTAATTAAGCATGTTGGTAGCTGCAGCTGCCGTGACCCATTTAACAGAGACTTTTCAGAGATGGCAACTGAACATCACAGTATCCCTGCAACGGAGCAGACAATCAACACACATTTGTAAGGATGAAATAGAAGCTCCACTGATTATAAGACAACTTTTATCTTTTTCACTCGTAGGGATGAACCCATTAGCACCCAACTCTGCAGTTCCCCTCAGCTCAATGGAGCTTTATAGTGTCTTTTTACTTCTATTTCTGCACATATGGCTCACAACTCCATTGTTTTTGGTTCATTCTCAGCATCATTTTCAGCAGCAGTAGTCTTTGGTCAAACGCTCGATAAACTCAATGAACGCTACCTGACCTGCTGGGGGTCAACTCTCCATGTCAACTTTATAAGATGACAATATGTCACTGATGTGTTTTACAGCTTGTTGTGTTGCCCCAACATGGCCAAAATTAAAGTAATGAAGTAACATACACTACGTACTGAGCAGGACATTTTGGAGTTCAAAAATAATTAATATCCGATTTCAAGATTCCCGAGACCTCAACCACTTTTGTTGCAGCCGCTATTGTTGGTGCTGCTTTGCATTTTTATTTTGTCTTTTTGGTTGCTATGCCCAGTTGCACACAGCTAAATCCGTGTGTTCCTGTGCCCCCACGAGTGTAGGATGTAAACAAACAACCAAAGAACCTCAGCAGGCATTTGCACATTTGTATGCAGCACCGTGCTGGGGAGCGTTTCTATTTTTGGCAAGTTTGACTTTGTTGACAATGAGAGAGAGAGAATGCGATTACCATAACTTAGGCAGTTCAAGCTATATTCTCATTGCAGTCAACAGCAGCCTATGAGCGTAACAGTCTACTGGAACCAGCAGTCCAATGTTTCCTGTGGGTCTTGAGTGGAAAAATATATCACAGTGCTGAATTCAAGGTTTATATTGATTAAGATATTACTAGTGTTTGCACAAATGCTTTGTCATTTTAGTGTTGATGAAGTGTAAAGCACCTGCTGTATGAGACACACATGGATGATATAACGATAGGAGCATCCAATCTTTGCCTCCCTTTCTATTTCATCAAGAAGATGGGCCAGCATACTCATACTGTTTTCATACATTATAAAAAGATGGAGATAGATGGTCTTGGTGTGTGTCAGTTTTAATGTGCCGGGTGATCATACATTTTTATAGAACAGACAGTGTATGAATACGTAATGGAGGTAGTTTCAGTGTCTCCCACTGTGGGTAGACACCAGCTTTAAACCCCTACAGACATACATCACACACTCCATTTAAGGTAACAAATCCACAGTCTAAAGCGGGGCTTTTTTCCTTAATGAGCACTGTGTATAATTATCTTCTTAAGCACCACTGATGTGAGTACCTGTTCTAATCCCAGACACCCTGTCAGCAATGGAGAAATGGTGGACAATGGAGGCCCTCATTTCTTGTGATCCGACTTGTGATGCGGGAGCCAAGAGATTTACAGTAATTGACAACGGTGGCAGGAAGTTGTCAACTACATAAACCTGCTGTCCTAGTCAATGAATAACTCTTCAGTCACCTTGCTGTGTGCTTTGTAATGTGTTTTTATATTCACTGTTGTCATTATTTTAACTTAACTAGAACACTGACATGTCATAAAGTTGATATGGTTGATATGGGTTTAAGCATGATGACATGGCTACATATATCCTTATCCATAGTTGGTGTATTACTACAGTAACATAGATGGCGGTTGGCACACTCCCTGTTTGGAAAAGCAGACAGGGGTACCGGTACGGAGGCTGAGTAATGTACTGCTGTGGATGCTGTACTGCTGTAGTTTGTAGATGAAAGTCACACAATACCACAAACTAACCAACCGATCGATGCAGCGATAGACAAGCATCTCCCGTGTTCTGCGAGGTAAAATGATTGTTTTGTCAATGAAGTCTGGGTGCCTTTGAAAAGAGCGATATCACGGCTTCAGTTCCTTGACGGATATGGCCGTCAGATGGCAAGTAAAGCAGTGAAAATATTCTGATATTGCTATTGATGGCGTTCACATTATTCATAACCTTATTGATTCGCTTACTTTGGTAACCTACGTCACTGCCTTTTGCTAATGGCTGAGTGGGCTTCCATTTGAAACACCAGGAAATGAACGCTGATGGAGTCAACCTTTGAAGAATAAGACGAACGATATTCTATATTTTGGTTAGTAGGATTAATTTATTGTTGATTTTGTAAAATATTGCAAGACTTAAGCTTTAAGATAGACCTGTAAAAGTATATTTTAAATGGGGCAGCTCTTCATGTTAATGCACTGTTCTGGAGCACTTCAATAACTGACTTGCGCTGCTGCGGCAGTGGACCACTTCACAGTGCATTACTGGTTTTCATGAGTGGTTTGTTGATGGGATGTGTGGGGGGTGTAAAATATTCACAGTGTACCCACTCCTTCAGTTACCACCACATGATTTAGTAGCTACAGCATCCCTGCAGGAGCCATTTCTTTCATCTCTGCAGGACCAGACTACACTCGCACTGAAGCACAGTGATTAAAAGCATCCACTCCAGTTTGTCAAACCTCAGCGCTGACCTTTATGATGAAAGCCGGTCCATTTTCAGTAAACAAAACCCCCCAAAAAGTGCCACGCTATCAGCACAGGAGGATCTGTAAAGCACAGTTGGTATTGAATCTATGTTTTTATCGTTGAGTTTGCTCTATATGGTTAAATAGGATGATTGTGTCTTTGCTGCCATAGAAAAAAAAATAAATCTTTCTTTACTTTTATGATTGATAGGTAACGGAGCCACTTGATCTTCACACATTGCTTTAAAACCTTAATGGAGAGTGAGAGTAAATCCAATTTCTGATCCTTGTCGCATGAACAGATATGCTCTTATTACGTCTGAAAAATACTGCGCTGTTAAACCTCTGGGCGATATGTTATTCAGTGGTTGGATAATCACACCAGAGACTTTGATGAATGAATTTAATTCAATAACTTTCTTGCAAGTAGAATTCATCAGGAGAGTTTGTGTCGAAAGACTAATATGAAAACCAGCTGAAATATGATATTCCTCCTGGCGATGCTGTTTGCTTCACAAATATTCCAACTGCTCTGTACAGACAAAGCATCTGTGCAGTTATTTTTATAACGATTCTACTTTCAACACACTAATGGAGCAGATGTAGATGACTAACTGAAATACAGAAGAAGCTTATTCTCAAAGTATTCAGTATTTTAGTCCTCACGATCTTTAAGTGAGAGCATTGAGGAAGGGTTGAAATAACATTCAACTGAAAATAAGGGGAGGGGGGAAATTCTGTTCATTGAGCATGGAAGTTGTTCCCATATTTACTTATTTGGTGCCTCATTGAGGCATTTGAGGAATGGTTTGGGCAAGAACAGAGAGCCAAAATGAAGCTGAGCATCCACACCTATCTGTGCTTAACCCATTTGTCGTTTTGTTTGAAATGTCACGGTACTGACACAGAAGTGAAACCTCTTTGCCTGAAAAGAGTGAATTATATTTTAGGTGATGCCTTCAATGACTGCAGAGGACAGACGTGTTTAGAGCTCAGCGTTCTTCCTCAGGCAGCAGGAGCACTGAGCTTGAAATGCGTCGCATATCTGCATGTTAAATCTCAGCCACCGTTATGTTTATCTTTTGTTTCTGCTCACTACGTTAATTCACGCTCATCTAAAGCCGACGAACAAATGTTCTCCCATTGCAAGCAAGGAACATGGAATCTTTTTCACTTCAGATTATCTCATCTGAACTACTAGGAAAGATATTTTACCCAGGAGTTGGTGGAACCGAGCCATCGCTATTTGCCCGTGAATATAGGACGCATGTTAGGTTGCCAGACACCATGCCCATATTGCTCTGTTCCTGCTGGATATGCTGCATCTAGACAGACAGTAACACTATAGTACTGTGGATCCTGGCTCAACTTTCTCACAACGCAGTGCAACAACATCCAGCAATGTGCTTTGTTAGACAGTCAAATACATGCAAATGATCCTACCAGATAAGATAAATGGAAGCATTGTGCTAACTTCAGACTTCACTTTGCAAGAAACCAAGAAATATTGTTGACGCACACTAACGCAGCCCAGTAGCAGTGTTTATCTGGACGGCTACTGTGGACCCGAATGCAGTTTGAAGTAGGCCAACATTGTCTTGTACCCGTTATACCTCTCTTACTCTTACTGCTCCCTAGAGTTAAAAAATGACTTCATGCAGCTTTAAATAGAAGCTACAATCAGCCACCATTACCAGCACACAGTGACTCATGAGTGTGATTACAAATGTATTTGTGTGTGTGTGTGTGTGTGTGTGCAAAGTGTACCGTGCGACTGGTCCTCCATGTGTCCCAGAGTTTCAATCTGCTCCACCAGGTCATTTGAGTTCCACTGACTCATGCCCAGTAGAATGGCGCTCTTCCCCTCCATAACATCTGCTGGGACACACAAAGACACACACACACACACACACACACACACACACACACACACACATACAAAGAGGAGTAAGACAGTGCAGCAAAGACAAAAACCCTCTCTGTGCATATCAATGAAATGGAAACTATTTGATGCTAGAAGAGATTAAAGCTGCCTGACATCTCCCTCGCTCTCATGTTAGTTGCGTGGCACCTCGACGAACGGACGGTACACCTCTTTTAAGTGCGCGCCCCAAAACACGACCAAGGCCGCTCTGATTGGTGCCACTTGTACTTGGTTTCCACTTTGTTTAAATGTGGCTCACTAAACATGCTGCTTACGCCAACCTGAATGGACAACTTAATGTGCAGCAACAAAGCAACAAAACACCACATGACGGCCAACAACATGGCAAACGACAGTGAACACATACATTCACAGGGCTTGTCTTGGCTGAACACAAATGGAATTGCTGTTCTGCTGCCTTTGCCAACACTTGCAAGCTGTCCAAAGATAAAACTGTAAATCTGGCCTGAATGATGTTGACACAGATTAATTACACCCTAAAGACTGTGGTGTGACATGTTTATTAAGCTGGCCTATCAGATTTATCTCTATGTATCTATTTCCAACAGGAAGCACTATCACACCTATTGCCACACTGCTGGCTGCTGTTTGATTATTAGCTGATAGATTCGGTGTTTTACGTGCCTGCACTTTATTTAAAAAGATACCCTGCAGAGTTTTGTTGGACACAAACACTGTTTGTTTTCACTGTTTTTTGCAAAAACACCTTGTGTAGCCTTGAGACCTAAGAAAATAAATTTGAAAAGACAATTTTACTTATTCAATGAAACCTGCGGCTAATGATACTTCTCTTCCCTGGACCGTCGGTGGGCACATTGATACAGTTGTTGGCACTTTACCATCGACCGTGGATCAGTGGAATAATGTGAAACAACATGTCCTTATACATGTAGTGCATGAGATATGAAAAAAAAAAACAAGGACTTGCTCATCAAAACACTGCTCCATAGTGCTGCTAGCGGTCAAAAACTCCACAGGATATCTTAAAGGAAGGTCACAGCATTAGTTTACATTTTTTTTGGAGCTCTGGCCATCAGCTCTATAATTCCCGATATACCCGAAAATGGAACCATTGCTAACAAATAGGTTAGAGTAACAAACATGAACACTCAAACAGGTTGGAAACAAGTTCAACAGGTTAGTCAAACTCATTTGGAAGAAAACAAATGAAGGTGAACGGTCCAATCATTGCACCAAACTAGGGTGATCTTGAGTAGTTCCAGAGCTTCACTAAATCAAGCCTGAGCAGCAGGCTAATCAGCCGGAAAAAAATGAAAACATAAGTTTTGGCTTGCAGGCCCTTTCAAAACATGGAACCACCACACTGTCGAGGTAAAGGACGAGCTCTGTTGTAGCGGCGAATATCAACCAAAAAGACAAGCTCGGTGTGTTGTGTGGATCAGCAACCAAGACAGTCTGAGACAGGATGAGTCATGCAGGAAGAAACCCCTCTACCTGACAGACTTCTCTTCTCCCTCACACATTCCTGGCTGGCAGCTCTGACCGACTCTGACGTGGATCTACACTGCCTGTCCATGTGAATCACACAGCGACCGGTCTACTGGTCACAGTTTGTCTTTCGCTATCTGCTCTGACTCTGACTCACCCCCCCTCCCCCTTTTGGTGCCCTTTCTTCCCTCCGGTCAGACGGTAGCGAGTCGAATGTAACAATGCAGGGACAGACTCAAACATACACAGACAAGCACAAAGGAAAATGGAGAGGAGCGAGAAAGAGACACAGAGAGAGGTGCATATTGGATCTGAACAACACGCTGCAGGATGTGAGAAAGCCTGTTTTTGGAGAGGAGGAGAAAGCAAAGCGGGCTTAACACCCTGAAAAAAGGCGGGTTACTCAATCACCTCCTGGAGGGAGAGCCGAGTAAAAGACGTTCGCAGCCAAAACACAAGCTTCTCTGAGAAGCATAATGTGTTTGAGCCGAGGTAAAACTAGTACCTATACTGAAAACCACGTGCAAAACACAAACAACAGCAATGCACGAATAATCAGGAGAATGACACCAGCCGATTGGAGCTACCTTATCTCTTGCTTTTGGAATATACGACAGAGCGGCGAAATCCGATTTGTACGACAGGCGAGAGGAGAAAAAGAAGCGTGAGATCTGCCTGCAGCCAACAGCCTTGAGGGAGAGGAGAGATTTAGAAACATCCTTCACTCTGTCGGCTCACGGTGATCAAGTGTCAAGAGTGGACGAGAGAGGAATGGATGCCTTGATTGTGAAATGATGAGGAAAGGGCCTCGGGTGACCTCTACCACTTCAATTTTGTTTTTTCAGTGTCCCATTCTCAATTTCTTGATCTCATTATCATGCATTAGTTGAAGGAGTGGAATTATCAAAATAACACTTCTGGCTTTATTTCAGGCCCTTTCAACTCCCGATACCAGGCACTATGAAAGGGAGATTGCTTCGGGGATTATCCCATAGAAAATGGCATAAACAGCCTGTCAGGTAAGTAGGGTGCCGAGGACGGATGGCATGGAAGCACCATGAGTAGAGCTCACAAGCACACAATGTGTGCGTAATCGGATAGAGTGAGAAAGAAAATGTGTGAAAGAACGTGTAGTTATAATTCCTAAACAGTGCTTAAAGTGGAGCTTTGCAGTGCTACCTCTCACTTTATGTAATATGTATATTTTTAATGGCTCATTTTACGTGCCATTATAATTTCACATACAAATGCTGTTTGCTTTGTGTTGCTTTAATAGAACTTTAATGTGCATTGCTATTTTAATCTTGCTTCTCATACTTGTAATCTCTGTTTTATCCTTGTGCAGCAGATTACATGAACAGGTTGTTGTGCAGCAACAATTTCATTCGAATCAAACACTGCAGCAGCTGATTTCCCTGATCAACACAACACACATTTAATCATAAAGAAACAAGAAATCAGTGAAATCACCCCCTGCAGCGACAGAATAAAACATGTCCGTGTGTCAGTGGAACATGGCTGAAATCCACTGCAGCAGAGGTTCATTGTTTAGTGTTAGCAAGATGACATTTTCTCTGTCATCCAGACAACAAAATTATGCAAATTATTCGTCTTTCTGGTTTTACTTCCCAGTAAAATGTTGCATGAATTGATTCCTGTTTGACCTTTGACAAGGACTTTACTACCAGAATGTGAAAGCTGCATAATTCATGCGGTTTAAAAAACGAAAAAAAGATGAACTGGATCCACGGGAACATTTTATCAAAGGCTGTTGGGTCAGAGGTCTACTGGTGCACAACATTAAATCCACATCCGCTCATGACTTCTTGAGATAACTTGTTAAAAAGATGAACAGCATGAAAACAAACTGTCCCGTGAAGTTACAGGAAGGTTGAGTAAATGCTGACAGCAAGATAGAATTTATCATTTCCTCTTTTTCAGAGCCGCACATGTCACATAGATGCAGGATTAAAGTGAGTGAAGACAGGCGCGGCGATGTTGATTGCTTTACAGACACATTCTTTCACCAACAGTGCAGACAAACAAAATCAAGGGGGAATTACATGTGTGTGAGTGTGTGCTCTTGTTCTCCTATCATTGTGAGGACCATTGGTTTAAAAGTTAAGGTTAGGGCTCAGGAAAGCATGATGTAACAACACAAAAAGTGGCAGAGTGATGTCATTCTCTGCTCGGGTAGACATTACTCCACTTTATCTTTACATAGCAAATAGGGGACAGTCCGCCAACTGCCATAGAACTCGACATAGCCGGATGTAGGCTACGTGTACATGGACGAAGACATCTCTTATTATTTAACAAGCCGGTTAGGTGACAGTATTCTTGTAATAAAACCGCAAACAAGTCGCAGATTCAAATTCATCATCAGCGGAGTCTTGTGATTGGTTCGCTCGCTCAGTGCGAAAGCGTTTTTGGTCAGACGGACATAAACCTTTACGTGCTGGTCCCTGCAATGTTACAAGTATATGCGCTGGTAGGCACATTTGAATAACCTTTGAATAAGCCGTTTCCAGCCAAGCTAAGCTAATCGGCTCCTGGCTGTAGCTTCATGTTGAATGGACAGACGTGAGAGTGGTATTAATCTTCTCATCTAACTCTGGGCATGAAAGCGAGTGAGCGTTTCTTGACAAAATGTTAAATTTTCCTTGGAGGCAGGTCTTACTATGTCATGGTGCAGATAGGCATATGTGAACCAGCACATTTTAGGATTATTCTGACAACCTTTATTAACGACTTTTGTCATCAAACGTCAGTTCAGATTTGCAAATAATAACATCGTCACCCGAGTTCACACCCAAAAATAGTGCAGAGTGGAAGCCCTACTTGCATACGGACATTGTTTACCTCCCGTGGCAATTTATTATGTCATTAAACTGAGGGAGCAGCCAACACCATGGCTTTCCTTTCAGGGTCAGTCTGTCAACTCAGCTCATTATTTAAATTCATGTCATCGAATAACGAATCTGGATTAATACACAGCGAATTTGTCAACAGCTCACATAAATAAGCAATGCGACAATTGCGTTGGCATTCGCTCAAGCAGCCTGAAGGCACATTCAGTCCCGATAAAAAATGAGACGTTTCACCCGTGTGTGCAACTGTGTGTGAGAGGTAAACATGTTGAGTGTTGCTCGGGGGGGAAGAGGTATGATTTTTCATTTTGGTTACTACTGGCGAGCGGATGGCCCTGGAACTCAGATTCTTCAGAGGGAGTAAAAAAACAGGAAGTGAAAGCAATCCTGCACAAATACCTCCCGCTGCTGCTGCTCACCTGCGGCCGAAACAGAAAGAGCAGAAACACCTGAATGAAGGATCTATTAAACATACATGTATAAAGATATACGTATGTGTATATGAGATTACACAGCACAGAGGATTTACTTACAAGCCTGATTTAACACACCAAAACAATTCATCACCAGAAATGAATTCTGTTAATTGTGTTGAACCACCAAGAAATGCCATTTTATAAAGCTTTTCAAAATCAAGTGTTTAAATAGAAACATAGACTACAGAAATCCAAATATTCTCACAAATAACAAAACTGACACGGTTATCCTCAACCCAAAACAACGCCAGAATTCTCGTTAAACAAATATTTAAACTGCAGGCTTTGGTCCCAATGAGCTTTTTCAGAAAACTGATGAAGATGAGATGGAGCTATTGGCAAAGTGAAACGCATGGTGCTCTTCACTGTAAGCGGTTAAAAAACCTTTATTCTATCGGCTTGTTCACACTGAAACTCAGGGATCTCCACCGTGTTTGAGCATGTGGCTTCTTCACTGAGAACAAAGCTTCAAACTGTTCAATAGTAGAGAAGTGCACTCTCTGCTCGAACACCAGTCTGTGTTGCACTTCTGTTTTCATCGTCGTCACTGCAGGCCAGCTCTGGGGTGCTGCGAATGTGTGACATTATACTGATCCTGAGTGTGTGTGTGTGTGTGTGTGTGTGTGTGTGAAAATGTGTGGGGATTTGGTAGGGGCAGCTGTGCAGATGTCAGAGGCGTTGATCAACCAGCCAACATCTGTGTTGCCTCCACACCATGTCGCAGGAACACTGGCTGACACACAACAACATTACTGACATGGAGGGAACCTCAGCTCTTCATGACTGCAGTGAAATATATTTGTAATTCAAAATCATGAATAAAATAATTTTACCAAATAATTTGTACGGTTTACAACATCTTCTATCCGTAGCACCTAGATTCAGATAAGATAATACTAAAAACGTTTTCTTTTCATTACACCGCTTTATTGAATACGTGATTCTGATGGTCAATTAGGGCATTCTACGGCATTCAGCAGACCGCTGCTATGAGTTACAGGCCGTTGCTATTCACAGCTTCTTGTGTGGAAACAATGTGTGAAAAAGTAGATTCACTTGGTAGCTGACTCTGCTGTGATCATCCAGTTTAGGGGACCAACGTAGTGGAACAATTTAACATATTCTTAACTGCAGTCATGGTATTTGATAGTTTAGTGAATCTTTTTACAATCAATGACTTAAGTCTAAAAGGCCTGAAGACGCTGACATCAGCAGAAGCTTGGCATCTTTCCTAAAGAGGCTCTGGCAGACCTTTACTACACCCGTTTAAACTTTGACGGCCTTTTTGCTTTCAGCCTGCTCTTCCAGAGGTGAGGTCAGGTGACAGACTAATAAAACTACTGCGGCCACAAAATAACTGATTGGTTGCTTTGGCTTTATGTTTGGGACCAGTGTCCTGCTGCATTCTTCTAAAATTGTATGAAAATCAGGGCTAATGCAGTCCTTCAGTGTCAACCCAGTATGATTGTGAACACCCTAAAAAAAGAACACTAAAGAATAAAAGCCATCTTTAGAAACCCTATGGTCACTGTTTGATTTCAAATCCAATCAGCTGGATTATAGAGGAAAATAAAGGCAGAAATGTCACGTACCTGTGGCCTGCACTTGAGGATGCACTTTCAAAGCTCTGTTCTTTCAACAGATCAGGAGCGCACTGTGCGCTGACACTGGCCAAGTACATTGGCTAGTATAAAAAAAAGGAGCACCACTTAACACTAGACTTCAACTTCCAGGATGCAGGAAGAGCCCTTTGAGATGCCTCATCTTGTTTTCAAGAGGCTCCTGACAATAAATTACATTTACAAAATAATCTACACAGAAACAGAGACATGAGCAAGATAAATGGTTAAAAACACACAGCAGACGACACAGATAAACAATAACAACAACAGTCAGGGCTCGTCTTTTTAGCAGAAAACTGAGCAAATTCCTTACAGCCTTCATACAGTCTCACGGATTTCTTGGTGCACTGTGTTACACAGTGTAGCTGAAGGCATTCATCATAACCACATAAATAAAAGTCCCCCCGAGCTTATTGTGACGGATTAAGTGGTCGGCCTATAATATTACAAACACCCCGTCGGTCACTCTTTAATGTGATTCTTTCAGTTGCTCCCGCTGCTTTTTATATAAAAGGCTGAAATTGCTTTTGGCTAAAAAAAAAACATATACCCAGTAGAAATAAAAGTGACCAGAGCAGCTATATGCAGCTAAGATTCAGAGTCACAGTCTTGCAGTTAGCAAGTGACTGTAGTGGGCCTGCAGAGTTCTGGTTTCCCTTTTCATATTGAGCAGGTTTATGTTTGGAATAACTTGCTCTGTCCTGCAGAGAGACTGCGCTCCACATTCTCCATGAGCTCAGACAATAAAGTCACATGGCAACTGCAAAGAAAAGACACCTTTCAAACATCTCCGCCTTTCTTCTCTTGGTTTATTTCTTTAGCTTTGCTGTACTTCATGTTTTAATGTTGTTCTTTCTATAATGGAGCTTCTTTGTTGATTGGGGACAGCCGTGCTTTCATGCAGCTTGAAAGGACAATTCAACTGGCCTGTGTGCATCAATGAGTGATGGCAAAAATGAGATGTGATATGTTTGGTCTCTGAAGAACAAGCCAGCAAATAAGCCAATTACATAAACAACAATTTTGATGTGGTTTGATGTGGTTTTATGGGGGCTATGTCCTGACTTCCTGGACACATGCGACACCACAGCATGTCGTTTTTACACTTGAGTTTTGTATAGTTTAAACAAATGAGATATAACATCATTAATATGTGATATTTAAATGTGCCTGTAGGTGGATTTCTTTTTTTAAATCTTTGGACAGAGCCAGGCTAGCCATTTCCCACTAGATCAGTCTTTATGCTAAGCTAAGCTAATCAGCTGCAGCTTCATATTTACTGCAGAAACATTAGCTGTATCATTTGTCTCATCTAACTCGGCCAAAATGTCCAACTATGTATACTTCCTTAACTAAATAACATGGAATACAACCACACACACACACCAAACATCTGATTGTGCACTTGTGTACGTTTGTTTGACACGCAACGCACCAGTGTGCAGTCTCTCCCCATGCTATTTAATTAAAAGAGATAAAGGACATCTTTGCCCTCCGTCCCTTCACACTCGGTAAAGATATTTCACTGCTGAGTGTGGAATCTCGTGCAGCAGATGTGTAAGTGAGGACGATGGAGTACATCGGTCCACATACAGCACATGTTATCTTATCCCCTCGGCGCTGATAGGCGCCTTGACACCGGTCTCACAAAATGAATTCTGAGCAACGTGGAGCACTGCTCCGTGACAGCTGTGATAAGAGGTCTGCGGCGAACGTGCCTTTTATGGCAAACTGAATGTGCAAGGGAAAGGGAGTGAAGGGAAATCAAAATTAAGGGAGGGAGGCGAACAAAAGATTGAGGCAGGAAGAGTGAAATGAGATAAACAAAAGTGAGTGTGAATGACAGCGGACAATAAAAAAAAATGTATTAATCACATTTCCATACACTTCATACTGGGGCGCTTAAAATTTCCTCCACCGACAAAAGTGGAAATGGAGCAGAGCAGACGGTCTGTAATCCGTTTCCCACTGAGACTCATTTTCATCATGTTTTCATATAATAAGAAAGAATGTTGGACACCAGAATCTCTCAACACACCCCTGGCTATTGACTGACTTAATATAAAATAACATGTGATAAAAACAATACAGCTAAGTATCTCTATCAACAGTCTCTCGGGATGACCACTTGTAATGGATAATTGGTGGGATGAGTATTCCACTGATTCACTCCCTCTGGGACAGTAAAAAGGCTGGTAGACGCATATCTTCTCAAGTGTGTCTATTTCTGTTCAGTCCGACATCTTCAACTAATGTACAACACTCTATAACAGAGGAAAGTGATATTGGTTTGAAACAATTAGGAATGATTATTAATACATGATCCATTTGTCACTCATTCTGTCTGCTTTGTTCTGAGAAAGGACTTTACTGAGCATGTCTCGTCCTACAATGGGTCTGCACAGTTTTTCTGTTTCTATTGAATGTTCTGGTCAACACAGAAACACCCGTGGCAATGACTACATGTTAGTTCCTGTAGTGAAAACAAGGGTCAGTTTAAAATGCTCAAACAGAGGTTCGGATCATTTCTGAGACTATTACTGGTGGAGAGAGAGAGAAACAACACGGTGAAGATAAAATGGGAGAAATAAAATGCAATACTAACCTCTGGCATCAAAGAACTCCTCATCAGAGCTTTCAACTGATTCTTGAGCAATGTTCTGCAGACACCAATGAGCGGCGCTGTGCTTTCGTGATGATCCTGTGGGTCAGAAGAGGAAAATAAAATCTGCTTTTAGACTGAAAGGAAGATAGCGGGGCCATGCCATTAATCACACAACTGGAGGACAGGCCACTCAAACATATTTATATCATTGAAAAGCAAAGCGTCAATGCCCCAGGTGGGGATAGATGGCCTTTCGAGTGCCACAGCAGGTGAAAAAACCCAAATGGACTTTCCTTTGTGCAGTGTCATAGCACACAAGTGTCTCAGCAACGGAGGCCAGGCAGTGTTTTATGACCTTCTGATACGAGAGCAGGGATGAAAAGGGATTTAGAGCACTTTCCATTTGTTGACAATATTTACTCTCAAGTACCCCAGATATAAAAGCATCGCAAACAACAGAGAAGAGCAATTTATTTCTCAAAACTCTTCGAAGCAGAAAGTGACTGTAACACAGTCGGGTGAAAATGACAAATCCTGCTCTGCCGAGGTTGGTATTAATTTACAAGATTAATTAGGAGTTACAGGAGCCTTTTCTCTTAATGTTATTCTGCTAAACTGTGTCAGGGTTAAAATGCCTTCCAAGAGCAACTAAACATTGGGCAGTATTTTTGCTCTTTCAATGCAATTGATGTTTTCATGCTCTTTGGGACAGCGACTTTAAGAAGCCTCGAGTACCTCTTAGTATTGTTGCACTCTGATGATGTAATGAACCACGTTTCCCTTCTGGCCCAGTGTCACAAATCATGAAACTCCATTTTCCCAAAGTCTGGGTCCATTGCATCCTTCCTGACTTTACACCACGGACACAATGTGGCAATTTGTCAAATGTTTCACTATTAAAGCATTCACACAAGATATTACATCATATAAATCATAGTTATTCACCCATGTTTAATAAAAAGGCCCAAATGGCACTGTTAAATTCACTAAATTGAGGTGCTTTCAAATGATATAATAGTTCAACTATTCATTCTAACGTATACTGTACCTGTATGCATACAACAGAAGGCCGTTTTGCTTATTACATTCTATGCATACAATTATTTACTCTGTGCTGGATATGAGGTTTCCCTCCAGGGATATTAAACAGTTTCCACCCATCACTTTGGCAATTCACACAGTACACAACCCAGTTCAAGCGCCTCTTCATCCCCTGCATTTCGAAATGGTGTCGGTAAGAAACTCGTCCCTGGGGGTTTTTGCGATAAATGGTCATCTCTCCAGCAACGTTGCAATAGGGTATCATTTTCAAGAGAAAATGTCCATTTTATGTGCGGTGGTAGTGCAATGACATTTCTATTAGAAATCAAAATTATTGATCCATTCCTACTGCTTCACGAAAAGCACACCAATGTATTATTTCTGTTTGTACATTTCTCACACACACCAACCGTTATGACTCCCAAATGTAAAATGCTCCGTAAAAAGCCTCTTTATCATTTTCCATTAGCGTCAAGAAACCATGAAGAATCTTAAGAGAGCAGTATTTAAAGAAAGTACCTTGAAACTGCTTTCTAAGCACTTTAATCCAGGACAATTAGTCAATATGCCAACCAAGTTAGGGATAAACTGAAGCTCTCTTTCTCTTTTACTTTTGACTTAGCGGAAGATCTGCCCGTCAGCAAAATTGTTCACCGGGATCCAAGCAAAGCCTTTAACCCTGTCAAGTTGGAGGATTAGTTCAGTCCTTGTGCGGAGAATTTAATGTGCATCAACATGCAGACCAACAGCGGCACAGATACATTTGTGTCGACTAAACACGAGAACTTTTGGCCAGATTCTCTGCTCTCACAGTGAAATAAGTCATTATGGCACACAACATCAAGATGATCATTATCTTCTAGAGAGCACTTCTCTCTTTGAAATTGGAAATATGTCTCCCCCCACTTAAACAGGAGCTATAAACTGTATGCCTCGGCCAACCGGTCAAGTTACAGTTTACATCCATGTCTGTCCAAAATGTCATCACTTCATTATTTTATTCTATTAGACATTTGTGACAACTGTCCTAATTAGCACATCAATTCTTGAGTTATGGTTATTCTTGGCCCAAAACATGTTTTGTGAGATCACAGTGATCACCAAAATCCAATCGGTTCATCCTTGAGTCCAAGTTGACGTTTGTGCCAAATCGGAAGAACTTTTCTCCAGGCACTCCTACGACATTGTGTCACGAGAATGGACCAGACGGACAACGCACAAACGTAATGCCTCTGGCCATTATAAAGTTGTAAAAATGTAAAGCTATTGTTTCACACGAATTCTGTTTTGCTGCTTAGTTTACATACTTGGACAAACAAGACAAGAGGTTCAATTTATGCTATTTTCGGGGCATTTTCGAGCAGTATGGTTCACTTTTACCATTGCAAGGGAACAAGGACGAACCAATGTCTGAATGTAACAAGCTTGGCTGAGGTTGCTGGGGTGCAAACTTCCCTCCTGGTTCCTACATAGTGGGGACAAACTACACAGTGGACGTGCTTGTGAACGAGGCTTTTTATTTACATTACCTATAACCCCACAAAATAATGTAGTATAAAAGGGCACTAGTAAGCTAGTTAGTCGGACATGCTAATGTTTGCAAAAGGCAAAACCCAAACTTGTAGGCCTGCATGGTTACAAATTTCTGCCTGTTGTTCAAGCATCTAATAATGGACCCGTCACTCTCCACTGTGCATCCTTCTTGACTGTCTGAGGCTTTGAGAGAGTCGTGCTGAGGAGGCATATGGATGAGCAGAGGCCTTGCTGTGTGCCACGGTGTTCAGAGCTCCTGGACGAGGAGCTGATGGGGTGCACGGCATGAGCAAAGGAAAGGTACAACTTTGAAAAGTAGAAACACTCCCGATTTAGCCACCCCAAGCCAGCCGCCGCCGTCTTGAGCTAATGCATCCACTGGTGGAACAGACACAGATGTGTTATGGATGTTTCTCCAGGAGCTGTGCGTGCGTGTTGAATGTCTTAAAATGTTTAAGGAGGCTAACTAAAATGTGTGTGGCTGAAGCCTCACACCGGAGCGCCTATCACCAAAGCGCTGCCTTTCCCACTGGGTAATAGAAATGATTGCTGTAGCTCCCTGTAGAGCATTTCACGACACCATATCCCCACAGCTACTGAGTGAATGCTTGAAAGAACTACGGATTACGATCACACGACCAGCAGCAGTGCAAATCTGAGGAGACAATCCCGCTTGAAGCCAAGAATTATGAATAGGAACATTTTGTCAATAGTGAGAGCCGATGTCCCATCTATTCACGTCTACAAGTCGGCATGTTGTATGGGTTGGTGACAGGAGAGTGCTCCTTCATGTCTCTCAATCTCTATGAGAACAAGGCCCGTGATTGTAGACAGTGTTGTGGAAATCAGCGTTCGTGTAATTCAATTGTAGTCTCAAGCAAATTGGAAGTGATTGGCTTAACGATGTTGTTTGATAATTAACAACATCACTCACAGATTTAAAACTCTTTGTGAGGAGGCTGAACCAGATCAGTGAAGTGTTTACAAACTGATCAAAATACTTTGAAATATTTCAAATAGTCACACTTACGATATAGTTATGTCAAAGCACTAATATGTGTCGATGCATGGGACCAGAAGAGTCCACGGCCATGCTAGCAGCTCTGTGAGGCTGTACTATGCCACAGCGGTGCTTTGAGCTAAATGCTAACATCAGCATGCTGACATGCTCACAATGGCAATGCTAACATGATGGGAATGTCATCTGTTTTCAGGTATTTGTCAAAAGCAAAGTATTAAAGTACAAATAAGTATTTGACCTGATTTTGTCAGGTGTTTGTTTTTTCAGTCCTGAAATTGAAAGTCTTTTTTTTTTCAACCTCATACTTCTTATAGTTCTTTAGTCAACTAAAACATTTGATGTATTCGTCTTGTTTTGGCCATTGGTGAAGCGTACTAAAACATGAGTTTTATGAGCTGGACTGTTTTTAATTTTAAAGAAACAATGGTACTGAAAAATGACTTAAAATGACAGTTGTGAAGGAATGTAGGTAATATATCCAGACATGACCATGTAGTGCAATATTCCTTAAACTTGGTTATATTTTCTTTGAACAATGGACTTTGGCTGAAATTAGGCTTTTTATATGTTTGCCTTTTCATGCACTTTAGTATAATTACACGTCAAGACAGATGTAATGGATATTTCCCAGTCACAACAACCATTTATTTCATGCCTTTTCAACCCTAATTGAGTAACCATGAAAACAAATCTATACGACTCAATTTCTAGTTAACATAATGTGTTATGGAAAAGTTTTGGGTGGTATTAACAGGTTAATATAGATTTTAAATCTCAAGGAGATTTTATAAATTACATATTAGGATGTTCCAGGTTTCAGTGTTCAACAGAATCCCCTACCAAAAACAGCAAAGGGTGATTCAGCAGTTACTTTGATCAATTTGCTTTTGTCTGCAAAATTAAAGCATGCAAAACCGAAACAGCTTGTCTTTTGAATCTAAATATGCAGCTTATGGAAACCAAGAAGAAGAGAGGAAGAGACTTTAATGTGAGAGAGGCCCGGCACTAGGTTCAAAATCTGTTTGCAAGTATCTAAAAAGCTTTACTTCAGAGCAGCACAACACAAGGCTGCTTGTGACTCATCTATTTCCTCTTTCATCTCTTTCTTTCCATTATCCACTTCCAGCGGTGTTTACACAGCGGCCTGCAGCCGGTTGAAACGGTGGGCTGACAGCATCAATCACTGGAGCAGCTCCATTGCAGTCACAGGTTATACACCGCTCTATCTGTCTATCGCATACAGGTATGAATCTGCAGCTTCACTACCAACACACGGCTGAAGTCCTACCCATGTATGAGGAGGTAGTGCTGAGAGTCACAGGGACAAATGTTTGACTGTGACATAGTCCCTGAAAATGTTATTCGGTAAAAAAAAGGAGAATATCAGGCAAAGAGCTTTTTTGTCATATAATGTTGGTCTCTTATCAATTGAAAGCGAAAGCCTGCACTCAGGACTCGCCAGGTCCTTATGCTGGTCAGTAAACACCTCAAAACGATAGGC